GTTAGCAACTTCAGAACTGTTAGCAACTGCCTTCTCTGCCTCCATGCAGCCAACCTCTGAAGTCCTCCACCTACACATCCACCTCTGCCCACGGACTGAGGCAGCCCCAACAGAGCTGAAGCTCCAGTTTGGGGGATGCAGGGCCGGGTAGTTTTCTTGCTGTCTTTGATGCATTCAGTGCTCTGTGCATTGAGCGTGGGCTCGTTGGAACCCCCCTCACTACCAGTCCCCAGCATGGACTCATGGGACCCCCCTCACTGCCACTCCCGTAACTGTGCAGTTAGGTCTTTCTGCCAACAAGGACAGGGACAGAAACTATAAATCTCAGAAAAATAATGGGCAAAAAGAACGAAGGGCTGGCGAAGGCAGGGCGCCTCCTAGACATTGAAACCCACATAATCAAGCATTATAGATGGGGGGAGGATAAAAAGGCCTGAAAGGGAAGATAAATGATTTTTTTTAATTCTGCGTCATATGAAAGGTTCTACAGATGAGTCCATAGGTGAGCCAGACCATCAGCCTTTTCAAACCTAGCAAAAGGACTTCAAACGGTGTAACTCAGTCTGCCTTCTACACACACAGCTCTCACATTTATCAAGAATAAGGAACTTTTTTAAGGGCATCAAACCTATAGAGATAAACAACTTTAGACCACAGGGAAAGAAAGAAGCAGTGTCTAAAATGCTCAGAAAAAGATAATCTGAGTGTGATCTCCATGAAATCTAAGATAGTATGTGGAAACTGTTTGTCATACATAAGACAAAACAAGATTCATCATTCCTGAAATAGTACCAGCAAGGTGAGCCGAGGACGGCCTGTGAAGACTGCAGGAACAGGCAGAGGAAGGGATGCTGGGAGGAGGCGCCATCCCCCCTCGCTCTTTCCAGCTCCTGGGCTTCCCCAGACATTCCCAGGGCCTTTTATCCATCTTGAACTCTCTCTAGAACTGCCGACCCAGCTATGAGTCCGTCTTTGAGAAATTTAAACATGTATATGTTTTAAGAATCTCAATCTCCACAACTTTAAAACGAAACCCTGGGTCCCTACTTCCCTGAAAACCTCCTACCTCAGCTTTCCTCCCCCAGGCAGGAAAAGTGCCTCTTTTCATTCCCTTGATCATCTTAAATCCTTCCATAATTCTACGCACCTTTACACGTACCCTAGTACATTCTATCCAACACCAGGGCCTATGTTTTCTCTTTAAAATATGTCTCTAACACATTCCCTTTTCTACACATCCTCCTCTGATGCTCTAGTGCAAACAGCCCTCACCTCTTGTCAAGACTATTAAAATACAGTAGAACCTCTGTAAATTGACCAGCCAAGAGAATGTAACACACAGAAGTGGTCAACATGAGGAACTAGGCCTGCTGTACTGAAACGTACATGTGGTGCATGTCTAGTTACATTGCATCAGTCGGAGTCTGGTAGAAAAGAGGGAGTGGGGAATGGCTAATAGCGGAAAAGCACCAAGCAGGGAGTCAGAAAGGAAGACAGTGTCTGTGGGCCCCACAATAATGACATCTTGGCAAACGCCCCAAGCAGTGGCTCAGCTTAGGCCTTTGAATGGAGAGGTCTGAGCTAAGGTTGTAGGTGCACACAGAGCGTGACTGGCTCAGGGGTTCCTGAGTCCCTGACTGCACCTCCCTCAGACCCTGCAAAGCCCCAGTAAGAAGTCTGGTGGTGGCTTGGTGCCTTGTGGCTCAAGCGGCTAAGGTGCCAGCCACATATACCTAAGGTGGTGGGTTTGAATCCAGCCCGACCCGCCAAACAACAATAATGGCTGCAACCAAAAAATAGTCGGGCGTTGTGGCGGGCGCCTGTGGTCCCAGCTACTTGGGAGGCTGAGGCAGGAGACTCCCTTGAGCCCAGGAGTTGGCGGTTGCTGTGAAGCCATAGCACTCTACCCAGGGTGACAGCTTGAGGCTCTGTCTTAAAAAAAAAAAAAAAGAAGTCTGGTGGTAGAAGGGCAGCATCCCCCCAAGAGTGGAAGGGCTCTACACTCTTTCCCACCAAGAGCACAAGTCCCAGGATTGTCAGTAACTCAGGTGGGGGGCTCGTCACCCAGGAGAGGTAACAACAGTCATCACACCAGGTGACTGAAGGACTGCAGAGGTTGGGGGGAGCTGCTTCCCTGGACATCTAACCGGCCCTCTATTGGGTCTCTAATGTGATCCTTCAGGGGAGCTGGGCTGGAGCATATGGAACTAAAGAGAAAGTCCCTGACAGAACTGAAAAGCTAGTGTAAACAACTCACTATAGCTCTTTAAGTGTGTCCTTAGGGTTCATTGGTGCTTCCCAGTGGGCAGGCGCCCTGCAGCATCCTCAAACTCTTGTAAATGATCCATTAGCACCCCCATGAGTGCCCTGAAATACCCTCAGCCTTCTTTGCTTTTCTAAGAAGGCTTTGTGTTTAACTGATCACCCAGTTGCCCTGTCAATTTCCGAGTAACACAGATGCAGAAGGAGACAGAGTGCCTGGAGTACTTTCAGTTAGGAACAGACCACAGTGAAAACAACAGTCAAGCTCTACTCCCAGACTGTGATGTTATAAAGAAAAGGCCACTTGGTGCCATCATTTACCCCCAAGGAACAGCACCAGGTAAAGGCAGCACAGATCTCACTGCCTGCTGCCTGGGGAGTCCGGGGCAAAAGGCTTTTGCCATTTTATGGACCCAGGATCCAAGGAGAGGGACCAGGAAAGAACTAGAAGTGGAAAAGTCCAAAGTAGAAATACCACGTATTGATGAGGGTGCAGAACAACTGAAACCCTCATGAACCCTATTGGCAATGTTAAAAGATGCAACCACAGAGGAAAGCAATTTGGCGGATTCTTGGAAAGTTAAACATACAACTTCCCTATGACCCAGTGATTCTACTGCTGTGTATCTATCCAAGAGAAATGAAATGTATTCATACAAACACATAAATTGTTCCTAACAACCTATGTGCAAATAGCCAAAACCTTGGTGACAACCTAAATGTTCATCAAAAGATGACTGGATAAACAAATTATGATACATCTCATACAATGAAATATTGTTTGCCAACAATAAAGAATAAACTATTGATATATACAATATGGAGAACTTCGAAATAATTGTATTGAGTGATAGGTGTAACACCAAAATAAATAGATGATATATGATTCCATACATGTAAATTTCTAGAAAATGTGAATTAATCTATATGAGAGATTAGTAGTTGTGATCCGTGAGCAGATCAGTGGTTGAGATGGGACAGGGAGGAAGAGCAAGGAGGAATTTTACAGATAGACAACATGATATTAGAGGCATGACATATATATACATATATGTCCATTATATTGAATGTGGTGATGGTTTATTTCATGTGTCAGAACTTACCAAATTATACATGTTAAATATGTGAAGTTTATTCTGTGTCAAGTATACCTCAAACGAAGTATAAATTTTAAAAAAATTAGACGTGAAAGGGAGACCAAAAATTCATAGGTATTTTAGTGTTGTGGATTAATTTTTGGCCAAACCTGCTTTAGAAAACATGGTCCCTGAAATGAATGTGGTCTATCAGAGAATACATTTTACTGCAGCAAATTTTAAGTAAAAGCTGTAAAATGAATAGTTCATATTACTATGAAATATAAGTCAAAATTATTATCAAGAGTAACCATTGTTCAGTTCAACTCATAAAAAAAATAAGGCAGGGGGCGGGGGGGGTGTAAGTGGTGACTTACGTGTGCATGGAAATCAGTGCAACTCTCTGCAGACCAATTTGAAAGAAATCTCAAAATGTGCTCAACTGTATCTTGATAATACTATTTTTAGGAATATTTCTTTAAAAATGAGCAATGTGAGTAAATATTTAAGATATTCAAAATAGTATGAATGTATAATATAATTATAGTTACCCGAACTGTCTCAAAGTAACTTTAATTATAGAAATCCAGACGAACACAGTGGAATCCTATACACACCAAATTAGTTAACGCAGAACGATCCCGAGGAAATTCATAGCAAGGAAGTAAGAGTAGACATTAGCTACAGAAGTGCACGATTAACTTGGACCACAATGCTTGTAAGTTTATATTCACATAGAAGCAGCAGGTTGCATGTCACACTTCAAGCAATAATTGCTGAGTGCCAGAACTGTGGGTGACATTTTTTTGTGCACTTTTCTATAGCTTCCAAATTGCTGCCATGACACAAATTTTCTCTTAGAAAAATCTAGTGAGATCCTTTAGTAAGGGGTGTGCTTGAGCCACGTCTGAGTGTTTATGATCCTTAAGTAAGGGGTGTGCTTGAGCCATGTCTGAGTGTTTATGATTAACTAGAGGGGTCTTTGCTTCCAAGCATTGTTTTGTATGAAGGTTCCTTTTGACCTTCCGTGTGTGTTTCAGAGGCAAGGGGAATGCAGAGGATGGCATAGAACATTTCCTACATTTGCCTTCTAGCTCAGTCCTGAAGCTCACTTCTGAGCCCCCAAACCTGTATCCATGGGTTATAGCAGGAAGATCGGAAGGAGCTGCTCTCATGAGGGACTGTGTGAGTTGAGGGACTGCATGACATGAGAGACTGCAGGAGTTGAGGGACTCGCGAGGCTGTCTGTGTGATGCTGACAGAAGCAGAGACACTGTCTCAGGTCTGTGTCAGACAAAGTATAGTGGCAGCATTTACTCTACAGGGTTCAGCCCAGCTTGGTATACAGTAGGGCCTGGGCACTGGTGACCCTAGGAAGCCTGGCAGTGGTGGTGAGCAGAGCTTGGAGATTACTGCCAATGGAAGACGCATCAAGGGCTGGCTCGTGAAACTTGCATATCCCCTAAAGATGCTCACAAACAATGGGCACAGATTTTTGTGAGAGAGGCTACGAGAGACTCCCCAAACACCCTAAAGCCCAGAATGCCTTCTGAGCCCTGACTTTCACTCATCTGAAGCCTCCGTTACCAGTGGCTCTAGAACCTCCAGCAAAAATATTCACAAACCACCCAGGTACACACATGCCACATGCCATGCCACAGATTCACTCACAAAGGATTTTAATGAAAGCAAGTTAGACAGAACAGGAAGGAGAGGGCGTGTACCGAGATCATGGAGTAGAGACCCGGCCGCAGAATAAGATGCTGTCGGTTTTGTGGTGCCTGATGAAAAAAAGGAAAGGGTGGTCTACACAGAACATTGGCTCTGGCCGGCTGCACCGGGCATTTCTGACCACTGCGGTCGCCGCAGCCGCCTCTGTGCCTTCCTCGTTAATCTCCAGAAAGCACTTGTGGGCGACTTTGGACACTGGCACGTTCTTCTTAGTTGACATTCCAGAAAAGTCAGCCTTGGCTTCTTCAAAAGCGTCAATCATTCCTAAACTTCGAAGGAAAGGCTCTAAGTCATAATTCTCCTCCAGCTTTAGTCTGGGAAGGAAAAGCTGAACTCTACTCTCCTTCATGTCTTCTATCCAGGATGTCAACTTCTCATATGTAAGGGTTTTCACCAGCTGGAATAACAAAGAGCCAAATCTTAAAATCTAGTTGACAATAGCCTGATGCCCACCCACCCACTTCTCACACCCTTCCCCCCAATGCTGAGCAACTGACAGTGAGTTCCGATCCAGGGAACCCACGGATATTTTGTTTGTTGCAAACACACTGAGATTTTCCCCCAAATTTGTATCTTTTACCTGTCATGTGAATATAAGTGTAGAAGGGGTAGAAAACACTATGATGGGTAGAGATTTTTAATAAAAATTATCTTCACCAAACAAAACTCATTACTAATGTTGAAAAACCTTTGTTCACAATTTAGAGAACTCCAGCAAACTGATCATATGAGTATTAATATTCATACAATACACGTTACTGTGAGTAGGAGAGATTGTTTAACAAAGGATAGAGAAACAGCATGGCCCAGAAGCCTGATTCCAAGTTGAATCAGGGGCTGCCCAGGGAGGAGGGAGGACCAGGGGCTGCCCCGTTGAAGGAGGAGGACCAGGTGCCATCTGCACATGATGAGAGGTGTGAGAGGGGAGAGGAGAGCAGAAATGGGGACTCAACAAGACTGTGGCTTCTGGCATTCTTATGTGCCTTCTGCCTGTTCTGGACTTGGCTTCCAATCTTCCCAGACCCATCACTCGTTCCTCTAATTCACAAGGGACAAAGAAACAAAAGAGAGAAGACTCGAGCACTCTTTCCCAGTGATGCAGCGATGGTTGGTTTTAATGTTGGGTCTCTTTCTACACTTTCCTAATATTTTTTAATAAGTGGTCATGACAAATATCATCACTGATTTATACCAATAGTTTCTGATTCCATAGAGAAACCAAGGAGATCAGGCAGCCCCACCCTCAACATCCTGTGCCTTGTGTGCTGGGACTGGCTGCTAGCTCTTGCTAAACACTTGGTAGCTTCAAGTCAACATGATGCATCACCTGGACTCTTAACCAAAAATGCAGATTCTCAGGCCCTACTCCACTGATTCACGATCTGCATTTTAACAAGCTCCCCAGAATCCTATCAATTAGCACTCTTCTTCCGGGACTTTTCTTCAATAATTATGGACCTTCAACTAGCCCCTTCATTCAGAATAGAGTACCGTTCTCATACTTTGGGAACTCTCTCTGCTTAGTGCCATCAACCTTGTCTGCACCTAGATATACACTCAAAAGAAATGAGCTCAGCTGGACTTGAAGAAAGTGAGACTCCTCGGCCGGGGCTCACCACGGGCAGATCGTCGTCCTCGTCCGGGAGCATGATGACCATGCTCAGCTCCTCCTCTGCGTACAGCATCTCCAGCAGCTGGGTGTGCATTTCCTTTATATACCCCATTCTAAACTTGGCTTGCTTAAACATCATCTGTACTGTCTTCTTCTCCTAAAAGAAACATGAAATTAAAATTAGATTATCCCCACACGAGCGTCATTTAAAAACTAAGATACATCTAATTCCCAGAACCCCTAGGCCAATCATTATTATTACAATTATTATTTCTACACATTCACGCCAATACATGCAACCTCTTCACTAGTGCATCATAATACTGACTAGAACATGCTATCGTTCCAGCAGATCAAATATCACCAGAAGAGACAGAATAGTTTGGCCAGTGTAGAAGGACACAAATCTCTACAATGATTTTTGAAGGAAGTTGTATTTGCTTTCTGGAGAAGATTCAGAGAGGAGCATTCCCTCATGGGCCTTATAATTAAAAAGTATTTATCCAAGGTAAGAGCAGCATTAACTAACATTCAGGCCCTTGGGATAAAGGATCTACTTAGAAAAGATGTATAGGCTCGGCGCCTATAGCTCAACCGGCTAAGGCGCCAGCCACGTACACCTAAGGTGGCGGGTTCGAATCCCCAGCCCGGACCCGCCAAAACAACAATGACGGCTGCAACCAAAAAATAGCCAGGCGTTGTGGCGGGCGCCTGTGGTCCCAGCTACTTGGGAGGCGGAGGCAGGAGACTCGCTTGAGCCCAGGAGTTGGAGGTTGCTGTGAGCTGTAATGCCACGGCACTCTGCCCAGGGGGACAGCTTGAGGCTCTGTCTCAAAAAAAAAAAAAAAAAAAGAAAAGATGTATAGGCCAAAGGAAGTTAAATGTTTACTCTGAAAAGTTGCCTGGTTATATAATTGGCTTTATAACCTTGGTTTTCTTGGGGAGAGGATCTTGACAATATTTGCAAGGTCGGCCATTTTTAAAGCTTGTATCAAATATATTTTTAACTTTCATATTGTCACGCAGTATATTGCTAAGGTTGATAAAGGTCAAATCTCAGGCTAATGACTGTTGGCCCCCAGCCACTCTTATATTCAAAACAGAATACAGAAAAGCATTTTTAAAGTTAGTCTTAACATCTGCTAACACTTTTTTCTTGTCTTCACAACAGCATAGCCTTGACTTTTAAGATAATGAATGGGCATAGTCTTCATTAACATTGCAAAAAGGTATTTAAGTAAATATAGTCCATGATAGCGTAACACAAACATACTTCCAAGGCTTAAAAGAAATTTTCTTCTAATCCAAATCATAGGACCAGAGATAGACGATTGATTTAACCAAACATTAGAAAACAAAACTACCAATGTAAAAATTATTTTCATTTCTCTCCTTTCTCCAATTAAAGATATTCAGTGATCATTAAATTCATTCAGAAATAGATCAACAATCACGATAGTGCGAAATGAATTATTTTTTCTGTTCATAATCTTTTCCATCTTATATTATATACATTAAGAAAGCAGCAGTATATCTGAAAATATTTCCCTACCTTGTTGGTTTTTATTTATTTACTTTTTATTTTTTATTAAACCACAGCTGTGTACATTATTAATACCTTGTTGGTTTTAAACAGCATTCCCTTCGTGTTCTTCCTGTCAAACTGCTCACTCCACTTTCCTTTGAAATAGACGGCATTCACGAGGACCATCTTAGTCAGGGAGTCAAGTGCCCCAGCAGCCAGTAGCTCTGAAATCTTACCTGTAAAGAACATGAGAGAAGTGTATTGCCCTTTGGGGGAAATAAGCATTATTGCACAAAAATCCCTTTGACATATAGAGCTGAGGCTTGCTTAAGAGGTGGAGTGCAGCCTATCTCACTGGCCACCTGATGAACTTGGGTGGTGGTGGTCAGCAATGTGGTCACAAACAGGGTATCGTGTCCCTTAAGTAACAATGACGAAGTAGGCAGGGCAACTATCATTTTGTTTGCCCTCAATTTGTATATGTAGAAATTTGGAATCAGAGCATTTGCCTGTTTTTTTTTGTTTTGTTTTGTTTTGTTTTCCAAATTCACACAGGTGGCAAGTGGCTAAACTAAAAAAATACCCCATGTGTCTTGATTCTCACTATAGGGCTGTCAACCTTTGTGCTGTAGCATATTAACCACACTAGTACCAGCACGTTAAGCCATATAATTATTTGTTGTAGGGACTGTCCCCTTTAACTAGCAGCACTTCCTTCAATTGTGAGTGACAAAAACATCTTCAGTCATTGTCATATGTCAACTGGAAGGCATCCGCTTCACTACCCCCTACCCCAGTTAAGGGTCACGGCTCTGTATCAATCTTCGGCTCTCATTCGGATAAGAAGAGGCTTCCAAAGGGACAGGGGAGCTCTGATCTATCAGTGGAGGGGAAAGACTGCCTGAAAAGAGTGAATGGGACATAGGAGTTAGAGGGTTGGAGTAGAGTGGCCCAAGTTGAGTCACCCAATGAGAGGGAAGACAAGGTGATTCCAAGGTCCTACCAGATCAATCTTCTGGGCAAAAGTGCAGGTGTTCAGCTCAGGGAAGGAAGGAAACAGCCCTGGAGGGCAAAGGACAGGTATAGAAGAGCAAAGTGTGCAGAAACTTGGAGGTTCCTCAGTGACTCCATACGTTGGATCAACCAGAGAATAAGAGGCCACCGGACAGATGACATATGAAAACGTGAAAGGCTTGTCCCTTCCATGATAATTGTTTTATATCACCTTTCAGTATAATCACGGGCATTACTGCTGCTCAATGCACAGCAGATGTGCCACAGAGATTGAGTGGATGAAATAATGACTGCAGGGTCACTGTAAATGACTTAATGCTGCCACTTTTTAGAAGCATATAAATTACCTGCTATATACACAGAGTGCTTAAAAGCATGCCCTTTCCCCCTTATGCTCAAGTAAAAAACCTAGCAGAAATATTTCTAGTGGGGTAGAATGGAGTCTGGACAGGGGATGTTGCAGGCCTCATGGTAGCTGCACCTCCAAGGTCAGGAGCAAATTCATAAAAGGTCACACTGTGAAAGCAAATGTCACTACAGTCACTTACAGATGAGGAAGAGGGCTACAGATCAGACTAGATCAAACACATTACCACAGGCAGATAACACGATAACACAGAGTGTGGCCCTATCTAAGCTGCAACCTAAGTGAATGTCATTCTGCCTCCGAGCATGGACAGGCCCCCAGGATGTAAGATAAATAAGGCTCCAAAGAGGACATACATTTCAAAGATTTTCCAGCGCAGTTTGGAAAGGAGGAAGTCTCAGGTTTTAACATTAAGGTTTAAGAATTTTTTTAAAAAGCACTGCTTTGTGATCTGATTAGCCCAAGAGGAGTAACAGTTTGCACTGCGGGCCTGAGAACCCAGGCAGCACACACAAGCCATGGCAGTGGGTGACAATGGCCATATCAGGCAAGGCCAGTCTCAGCCAGTCCAGCCTCGTTCCACTGTAATTCCAAGTCCACTAAGGGAAAACCTCTTACCATTGGTCTTTTTTGTCACCCAGGTATTTATGTGCTTCCTACATTCTTCAGTATCTTTAGCAAAGGACAGCTCCTCCATCTCTGCCTGATAGAACTCCTGACAGGATTCCTTGAAGGTCTGCAAACACAAAATGTTGCCTTTGGCCTCACTCAACAAAGGTTCCCGCAACTTTAAACACAAATGCCCACGTGATGGGTCACACTGCACTTTAAGATGCATTCATGGAAGTAACAAGCGTGTCTGGGCCTTCTGCTAACACCTGATACTCTGCAAGGTGCTTGGCTGTGGTGGCTCAGACCCTGATGAGAAAATCAGCTGAGACACACAGACACTTACAAGATGTCATGGCTGTCACCATTCATGTACAAAACAGCCAGGGACCAACCCTTTCAAACACACATTGACTTTGGTTTTCTGTGTTCCCAACTAGGCAGTCCTCTCATTTTTGTATCACCACCAACCAGTGTCTGAAACGTATTTTTGAATGATTGAGAGGCTCCTTAAGGGAATTTGGTTGTCAAGAAACCACGTAGATCTACGAGTGGACAAACAGGGACACAACATTTCAGATCCAGGTCACCGTGTTCTACATTGGGAGGATATGCAACAAGGAAGGTCCTCCAGGGCTGGAGTGTAATGGGCATGGATGGGTGTGTGTACAAGTGAGTGCATGTGTGTGTGAGAACATGTACGTAGACATGAGTGTGTGCATGTGTGCACGTCAGTGCTTGTGCATGCACATGTGTGTAGATGTGTGCACTCCTGTGTGGCTGCACTGGAAAAACACAGTGGCGGGGATGAGCCTTGTAATCTAAGTTGGGGTCTAATCTGTACTCAATACATTAAAACCTAGATAACTCACTCCACAGAAGCCTGCCTTCAGATATAATATGCCTGGCAACTGGCTTCCATCCTCTAACCATTCCCTGTTCTCAAATATTTTAATTTCCACTGAAGAAAAAGGATGTCAGGGAAGGCAGAGCCATGCAACTAAGAAACGTGGAGGTTAGTTTCCTTTGGCTCCAATGTTGCAATATTCAAAATCAGGGTGGTGCTCAGAAATGAACGGTGATGCCAGGGGCCTCCTCTGGAATCATCTCCACAGGTAGGTAAGCCCAGAGCAGCGACTTCCATGGGGCAGCACCCAACAGTGGCTGGGACAGAAGTAAAATCTTAGAGAAGAACCCTCCTAGCTCCCAGCCACTCCGATGGCTAAGCTCACTGCGATGGTTTCATTAGTTTCAAGACAGCATCTCCCTGAACAGTACGTGGTATGATTTTTTGGACCTCACTGCATCATGGCAAGTTTTGACTGCACGGGGGAATTGTGGAAGTATATACTGAACTAAATAGAATCTACTCAGATTTAAAACCTAAATTTTATGAACAGATTTTCATGTTAGAAAGCTGTGAGCTGTGACGCCACAGCACTCTACTGAGGGCAACATAGTGAGACTGTCTCAAAAAAAAAAGAGAGAACAAGTATTCTTTCATTCAATAGTGTAGATTTCAAAGACAAAGAGGAGAACCTAGAAAGACTAATTAGAAGCAATTGATAATAATGTCGAATATAGAGCCAGAATTTGAGCTCAAGCAGTGCCAGTACTTGGCCCTGAAAGCAGAGGAGGAAGTAAATTTAGGAGACTTTGGAGAGATGTTAGGAAAATTTAAAAGGACAGTTGCAGAAGCGTCATTCTAAGCACATTTTTAATGCAGTAGCGTTCTTATCTACTCCTTTATTCTCTCCGTATTCTCTGCTCTTCTATAGTCTTTATCTTATTTTCAATTTCTTTTTCATCAATATGTGAGTATTATAATACTTACTGAAAGGAAATCACATGTTTTTTCTCCAAAGATTTTGTTGGCCATTCTAACTAAGTACTGGGTGCCAGATTTGTTAACGTCCGTGAGAAGGGACTGGAAGCCTTGGTGAATATTTCCGCCTTTGTTCAAGCAAAGTGCCTGGGAATAGAAAACAGCGCCAACTTTTAATTTTGCCCTTAAGGGCTATTTTAAAGCAATTCTCTGTATTAAAAATCACACAGTGAACTATCTTTAAGGGGGTTTGGTTTAATTGTCTGGTACAGGTTTTCTCAATCTGGGCACTATTGCCATTTGGGGGCAGATACTTTGCTGTGGGGGAGGGGAACTGTCCTGTGCATCCCAGGGTGTATTGCAGCATTTCTGGCCTCTGTCCACCAGATGTCAGTAGCACCTCAGGTATGAGAACTAAAACTCCCAGGTCCCCCCAGGTGTTCCCAGCAAGGCAAAATCCACCTCCTCCCCCCTGGTGAGAAGCACCGGTTGAGCAGATTTATCCACACCTGCAAGTTATCTGCAGTAATTCAGGAGGGAGCAGAACAGAAAAAAGGGCAGCTGGGAGGAACCTAACATGACCCAGGGAAGGCAAAAGATGTCTCATCTGCAATTTTACGGTTCTCCAGACCTGATTAGGATTTATAGTTTGCCTTACTTATCAAAGATGTGATTTGCCAGAATGTATTCATGATTTTTCCTACAGAAGATAACTTCATGACTTGATTTCTCATAAACATTAGAGGAAATGACCTATCCCACACAATTCACTTTTCTACCCCTGTCTGCCCTTTCTCCATCGCAGAGGTGCTCCCCCCCCACCCCACCCCACCCCCGCCAGCCACACAGGCGTCATCGCTGGAGTACAGAGAAACCAGCTCCATGGGGGCACGAAGGAAGGAAACCTGCCCTGTGCTCTTCCTTTACACCAGGCACACATACCTGGGTCATCTGGGCTGCGGTGTTTCCTTTTGCCCCCATCAGGACCATGGCCAAGGCAGAGCTTAGGCTCAGAGGAGAGAAGAAGACGTTTCGTGAATGGTCCTCTTCCCCCAGTACTTTTAGTAAGGTGATGGCAAAAGTGCCATTTGCTTTGCAGAAATTATCCATCAGGGAAGGCCTGGATCAAAGGCATGACACAGAAGCACATCAAGCAAACCCTCCCGGCCGTCACGCAGTTGTTCCTCCCCCCCAGTAGAACACCGTGTGGGGAAGGGGAAATGACTGCAACCCCCAAACGTCCACTCCTAATCCCCCAGATTTGTGACTGTGTTATCTTACCTGGCAATGAGGACTTTGCAAATGCGATTGAATTAAGTAGCTTCAGATGGGGAGCTTTTGCTGGTTTAATGAAGTCACACTGTCCTTACAAGAGGGAATCAGGAGGGTCCAAGTCAGAGAAGGCGGTGTGACAGGGGAAGCAAAGATCAGAGTGGGGTAGGGCCACTGCCCAAGGACTGAGCCCCCCTCTAGCAGTTGGAAAAAAACGAGGAAACAGATTTTCTCCTAAAGCCTCCAGAAACAAAACAAACCAAAACAAAACCAGAGCTCTCTCTGCTGTACCATTTTGGACTTAACTGAAACTGAATGATAATAAATTATGTTGGTTTTAGTCACTTCATATGTGGTAAGGTCTTGCAGCACCAATACGAAACTGAAGCACTGGTTTATTTGCAAAACAGCCGATCCCAAGGCCCTTAGTGATACCACTTTTATCAACAGTAGTGCAGATGCCCTTGTGACTATTTCCCCCTCCCTCTGTGAAATAGAGGTCAACATGTCTTGGTGCCAGGACCATTCTCAGTACTTTCCATGCATCATCTCATTTAACCCCAACAAAAATGCACTGAAATCAGTGCAGTGACAGCCTCACTTCGGTATAAAGAGGTTTACTAGCTCCTTCCAGATCCCTCGGCTAGCCACTAATGACTGGAATCCACAGTTCAACTCCAGAGCCTGGACTCTTCACCGTTATACAAAACCCTTCTGTTGCTGCCAATTCTCTTTCAATTTAGGGTCTCTAACATCCTTTATAAAGAATGTTCTAAGAATTGTAAATAATTGTTTATAAATAAAAATCATTTCTGTCATTGTGTCCTGCAAAAAAAGAGTTAGATACATTTCACCGAATTTGGAGGGTTTGGGGGATAATCTGATCTAAAGTAAGGAAAACAAACAGAAAAACTTACTGACTTCAAAAAGATACCCTGTTTTTCATAAGAATTGCTGAAACTAGGTTGAGGAGCTGCAAAAAAAAAAAAAGCCCATGGGCATGTGTATAAAATATGAAAGCCAAGTCTTGGCATCTGTGAGTACTCTGAGTTAGATGCCTTGACTTTGAATGCATCCTGGCCAAGAGGGCCTTAGACTGATTAAATTCTAATCAAGCGAAATTTGACCAAATGAACAAACTAAAAAGACTTCTTCCTGCCTCTAAGCCCTGGCTTCCTTTTTCTTAAAGCATTTATTGTAATTGTAAATTCTTTGTCTATCTCTTTGAGATGTAAATCTTTTTAAAGACTTCTTTCCAGTTCTACCTCTGACAATCTTGCTTTAGGACCCAAGAGCCATCCCTTTGAATGTAACCCTCAGGACTGGTTGTAACCTCTTACTGACCTGTCTCTATAGGAGGTATGAAGGAGTCTAACCAAGACAGGCATCTTGCTCCCAGCATTAAAAGTAAAAAGGCATGACAGCTTAATATTAACCAGTATCACTTTAGCAAATTACTAAAAGTCCTACATTCGTTACTTGTTTATTTCTATTAAGGCTTATAAAGACCTGGGCTGTCATTTCATAAACTATTAAAGTTCCTCAACTTATCTCAGTTTCCTGAGCCTCTTTGCTGTTACAATTGAGGACATTTTGGAAAATAAAATGACAAATCATTACTCACGATTCTACAACCCTAACAAATGATTGTTTCTATTATTTTGCCCTTTATAAGATATAGGCAGGTATATTTTTAATTCAAAACTTTTAAAGCCAAATAAGAAAAAGTATGTTTCAGTTTAGAAAATTAGCAAATAAATGAAACAAAAAGTACTGGAAGCGCCATCTAAATCATTGTGCATGCATTTGTTTCTATAAACCAGGGGTCCTCAAACTACAGCCCGTGGGCCACATACGGCTCGCCAAGGACATTTATCCCACCCGCAGGGTGTTTTGCCACCGCTGCCTGTCCTGCTTAGCAGCCGACTCCTCCTGGGGCCCTCAGTCCGGCCCTCCAATGGTCTGAGGGACAGTGAATTGGCCCCCTGTTTAAAAAGTTTGAGGACCCCTGCTATAAACAGATGGGGCATCACATGATCTTTCTTCTTTCAGTTTCCCAGTGGACTGCAAGTGCTTGGTACAGAAGCGCTGAAAATGTATCTCCTTAACGGGAGCTGGTGGGGGCGTCTTCTGGGTCTCTTGAGACAAGAAAAAAGGGGAGTTGGATGTGTGGGACTGGAGGGACAAGGGGGGAACTATGCCAAGCAGAGTATCTTCACTATTGAATGTTTTGTTGAAAGCTTCCTCCTTAGATATTATATAAGAGGGTTGTCTGATTTAAACAGCAAAATATGTGTACTTATATTTTTATAAAGTGTAAAGGCAGCGCTCTAAACATAGAGCAATAGCCCAAACTAGTGCAAATTGTTTGAACTTTGAAATCAATGTGTTAAAATGTCAACCAAGTAAATATAATCATGCCATAGTTCGCACAACAGAACTGTAGACTTAACGGCGTATGAGAGAACAAGATGTTAAAGTTCCTCACTCCCCTCTCATCGCAAAGCCTCCCCAGAGTTTGCACCCAGAGCCCTGGCTGTAGATGGAGTACCCTGTGTCTGTGCAGTCAAGTCCCTGGCACAGCAACCCTACTCAGCAACCCCACCTTACACTTGACAATATTTCAGAAATTTGCAGCAAGGAAGAAATAGTCAGACTTCATGGAACCAGGCCTACCAGAGAAACCCATAGAAAAAGAGAATTTGACAAACTGAATGACAGAGATGCAAATAAACTTGATCCTACCTTAGCATAAGAGCAGATTTGAACTCAGAGTGAGGCGGGCAGGAGATCACGATGGGGAGGAGAGATATGGAGGGAGGCACAGAGACAGGGGGAGAGAAAGAGAGATGGGTTCATTGTCCTGTCTGAAAATGGAAAGGAAGAGACTGGCCTGTTGCATCAATCTCAACATCACATTTTAACTGCCCTGAATTATAAACTGCTACCTCTGGCTTCTTCCACCTTTCCCCTTCTTTTCTCTCACTTCCTCAGATCCATGCCTTTTCAAAATCCAGGTGCTATTTCCCACTAATATCTACTCCATAGCATCTCTCTCTCTCTCTCTCTCTCTCACACACACACACACACACGTACAACCTCAGGAAGTGCCTCTGCTCACACCAACAGTCAGGTGGATGAAGAAACCAGGAGTCAGAATGACTCCCTCCTGCTGTTTTCCTGGTGCTCCGATCTCAATTCTACATTAATGCCTTTGAAAGGGTTGCGACTTTAAACAAAATGGACCTTACTCAATAAATCTAAAAGATAATTAATTGTAATCTAATACAAAATAATACATTTAGGTGCCAATGCCCCAATTAGACTGTGTCATAAAAACACAGTCACTGAGGGCAGCGCCTGTGGCTCAAAGGAGTAGGGTGTCAGCGGCTCAGAGGAGTAGGGCACCAACCTCATATGCCAGAGGTGGTGGGTTCAAATCCAGCCCCAGCCAAAAATTGCAAAAAAAAAAAAAAAAAAAAAAAACCACGGTCATGGAAAGTTGTGACTTCCAGTCAATCAAATGAACTGGCATTAAACTAGTTTTCCTTTTACAGGTGAACAAAGACAGTGACAATCATATACTATCCACAGGACCCACAGGAAAAGTGGCAGAATGAGCTTCACAAGCAAGCCTTCTGCTTCCAAGGGCTAACATCATTGCCTCAGGGACCTCTAATGCCTATGAAGTCCCTACTGCACCCCCAATGCCTGAATCCCTTCAGAAGCTAATTTATTCAAAAAGAATTTATGTAGAACATTCCCTACCTGTTTGGAAAAAGAAAATGAAAAATAAATGCTATAATTACTGACCAGAATCTCACACCCTAGAGGAGACACACATGCAGAAATGCCTGGTTTCTAATGTTCCACGTGCTCCGTAATGGTAATTACAAATTACCATTAGACAACTAGAAACTATATTATGGGGTAATTTACAAAGTGCCAAAAAAGCCCCCAAAAATTTTTTCAAAATTCTACAGAAGGTGGCACCTGTGGCTCAGTGAGTAGGGCACCAGCCCTATATACCCAGGGTGGCGGGTTCAAACCCGACCCAGGCCAAACTGCAACCACAGAAAAAAATAGCTGGGTGACCGGGCGGGCGCCTGTAGTCCCAGCTACTCCGGAGGCTGAGGCAAGAGAATTGCCTGGGCCCAGGAGTTGGAGGTTGCTGTGAGCTGTGATGCCACAGCGCTCTACCAAGGGCGATAAAGTGAGACTCCGTCTCTAAAAAAGAAAAAATTCTACAGAAACATGGAAACACTTTCCAGGGAAGCTGCCTTTCAAAGGGTGGGCAGGAGCTTTGCAGGTGGCGAACACTGGGACCTGAATTTTAGGCTGAGGAATTAGCAGATGCAGGGAAGGTGGCAGGAAGGATCTACGTGGGGCCTGGGGAATGATGGGCATGGTTTCCTGTAGCAGAGGTGGTAGTGAGATAAATGGGCCCTCTATGCCAGGCTTAGGAGTTTGAACTTGAACTCATGGTCTGAAATGCCAAACATGTTTTCTAAACAAAGGCCTTACGTTAGTGTGTTGCGGTTTTAGAAAGATGGCGTGGGGTCGGCGCCTGTGACTCAAAGGAGTGGGGCGCCGCCCGGCCCATATACCGGAGGTGGTGGGTTCAAACCCAGCCACGGCCAAAAACTGCAAAAAGAAGAAAAAAGAAAGAAAGAAAGATGGCGTGGCTCCCGAGTGGTGTGGAAAGGGAATGGGGACCCGGCTGGGGACCGCACTGCCGTGGGCCAGTGGCTGCTGGACGTCAAGGAGCATCAGCACTGGATGGAGTCGCGGAGGTGGAACCTGCAGGCCTTGACCGCTCGCACTGGGACGCTAGCAGGAGGGTGAACAGCAGCCCTGGGCTCCCAGCTAAATTCACACCGAGGGCCGCAGCTGCTCCCTGAGGGGGGCCGTAGGTGGAGGAGCAGCCTCCGCCCCCCAGGCCCCCGGTTGAGGGGAAGCATCTTACGCAGGAGAAAACTAAGACAAAGAGATGAAAGGGTGGGCGGGGAAGAGGGAGAGGAGGGCGAAAGAGAGACCGCAACCTGTTGAAGCTGCACCGCGGAGGGGCAGGCCTGGGTGCCCGCGGGGACACCCCCCAGCTCCCCCCGGAACCTGCCCGGGGCCCCAGACGATCCCACAAGGCCTCCAGTCGGCCCGGCCTGCCCGCTGCCACCCGCCTCCTCCCGCTCACCCTCCCCACAGCCGGGCCGCCCAACCCAGCCTGCTGC